AATATTACATTTCTTTTCAGCGAACTAAACGATTGAAATGCTCTTGGCATGTCGTTTCTGTCCATAAAAGTCACAAACAACTTTACTTTTTTCTTTAAAATATTTATAAATAAAAAATCAACAGTTGTTATAAATAGAACTTACTTTTCTTTTTACCATAATCGATTTTTACTGAGTACTAGTGAACATTCCTTTCAGTTCCATGACATCTATGGTTGTCAATCATTTATTCATGAAATATCAGCAGTGTCACATATCCAAGATTTTGGAGATGCCACCACGTCTCCCGCGGGAAATGCCGCGTCTCGCGTGAGAGATGCGGGTGTGGGTGTAGGGGATGCGCATATCTAAAGGAGATCTTACATCTCCAGTGGTGAATGACCATATCTATCGAGTGTGGGTGTCATGTCTCCCGCTGGAGACGCGGCATCTCCCACGGGAGACATTGTGGCATCTCCAAAATCTTGGATATGTGACACTAGGTTACCGTGACACTACTCTAAAATGTATAGCTAAATGAAGAATTTTGCACGTGAAAACTATTCAATTGATTTCATCCATAAAAATGGGTCATATCGATTTTCAATCTAAGAAATGTTATTTGAAAATTTCCAAGTTTAGCCTCATTCGATGATTTAGTTGTCGTCATCAGGGCTCGAAACGGGCCACGTGGCCCAGCGGCCAGGCCTGGCCCGGACCGGCCCAACATGGCCCGGTCCGGGCCAACGAATTGTGAGTGTGGGTGAGGTGTGGGTGTGGGGTGTGCGGATGTGGTTGTGGGTGTGCGTGTGTGCTTGTGGGTGTGGGGTGTGGGTGTGGGTGTGGATGTGGGTGTGGATGGTATGGGTGTGGATGTGGGTGTAAGTGTAGAGGAAGAGAACGCCCACGCCCACACCCACACACCCACCCGCACCCACGCCCACCCACACTCACATTCACCCACGCCCACACCCACACCCACACCACCCACATCCACACCCACACTCACACCCACACTCACATCCACACCCACAACCCACACACACACACACCCTCAACCCACACCCATCCATACCCACATCCACATCCACACCCACATCCGACCCGCACCCACACCCACATCCACACCCACATCCGATCCACAGCCACACCCACACTCACACCCCACACCCACACCCACACCACCCACACTCACATCCACACCCTCAACCCACATCCACACCCACTCTCACATCCAAACCCACACCATCCACACCTGCACCCACACCCACACTAACATCCACACCCACACCCACACCCACACACACCCACACCGACACCCCACACCCGACAACCACACCCACACTCACACCCCAGTTACATAAATATTGTATTAAACGACATCTTTTTACGTTCTCTTACCTTCATCTACAATTTTTCTTAGTGGTTTATTTTTTGTTATCTTCATCGGTAGAGGAAGATAAAAAATTACATTATTTTTCTTATTCTCGCTTTCTTCTCATTCTCCTTTTTTTTCTTATTTTCCTTTTCTTCTTATTCTCAGTTTTTTTCTATTTATATGTAGATACACTATTAAAAAACGCTTACTCAACACATGGCCACAGCGACAACTGAAAGAAACTTGTGTCATACATGTCAAAAAGCAAAAGGAATATCCAAATGTGAAGGGTGTTCGCAAATCTTTTGTTTTAATCATTTCGTTGATCATCGTCAAGAATTGAACAAACAATTTGATGAAGTTGAACTTACTCGTGATCTTTTTCGACAAACACTAAGCGACCAAACATCAGAACCAGGAAATCACATTTTAATACAACAAATTAATGATTGGGAACAGAATTCAGTTGAAAAAATTCGACATACAGCAGATGAAATCAGAAAAGAATTACTAAAACATACAGCTAAAAATATTACTGACATAGAAATTAAACTGAACGAATTAACTGATGAATTAAGACAATGTCGCCAAGAAAATGACTTTATTGAAACAGATTTACATCGATGGAAAAATCAACTCTCTGATCTAACCAATGAACTTAACAAACCATCAAATATTACAATTCGACAAGGTTCAAACCGACTTGTGAAAAAAATTTATCTCAATATATCAGCTAGTAAGTTTGCTGCATATCCAATCTCTTATCGAAGATAGCAGAATCATTTTTGAAAGATTTATATTTTGAAATCTACCTCAGTAACAATTGTATCGTATCGATAGAATTTTGGAAGTCGTTAATCTTTATATAAAACTATATCGAACGGAATACAGAACTGGAATAGACTTCTTTTACAAGAATGTTATTGCAAAAAAGTACTTCGAAACAAGTTTTTCTAAAAAAAGTATGTGATACGTGAAACCATAGAATTGAAAAAATATTGCTTCTAACGACATGATTCCCAGGATTTGAACCTTTGAAAACGATAAAATCATGGCATATCATTTCGCATTAAACTTCGAAAAAATCTTCGTTATCATTTATATCTGACTGAAATATCATATCTACTTGATTCATATCGACCTAGTAAATTCTTACACTGAATCTATTTCTGTTTAAAGATTTGAGTAACTTTTCATAGTGCAGAGTGATTCAATAAAATGAATTCTTTGCACTTTATCAGCTCTACTCGATGTTAATACCACATTTCATCCAATTAACAAAAAGAATTCTAAGATTTGACATAATTTGATAAAAAGTACGGTCTTTTTGCAATGCTGATCAAACCTTTCTAAATCTTAGATTTTTTATACATGGGATGAAATATAGTACCAGAATCGAGTAGAGCGAACAAACTTGATTTTAAATAGCACAAACATTTGACCGAGTTTGAAGGTTACTCATACCGAAAATCTACAATTTTTGTATCAGAAACAGAACATTCTGTGCATTCTTAATTCGACTGTATAACCATTGTATAATAAATTTTGAATTGTGAAAGTCTTCTTTTAAATAAAGACATGTTTCTCGCAATTATGTTCAAGTTGATCGCGAAGGAAACAGCAATATTTTTTTATCATAAAATTTGTCACATTGTAGGACAATCATGTATGAGCCAAATTGATGCCAACACAAGATGGGTACAAAATGGTATCACGGTTGCTGGAGGTAATAAAAGAGGAGATGGATTAAATCAACTTGATCGTCCATGGGGTATATGTATTGATGACGATGAACAAACTATATATATCGCTGATACTTGTAATCATCGCATTATAGAATGGAAATATGGAGCAACACATGGCAGAATCGTGGCGGGTGGGAATGGAGAAGAAAACCCAACCAATCTGTTAAATAATCCAAGAGACGTAGTTGTTGATAAAGAGAAAGATTGTCTTATTATCTGCGATCGAGGAAACAGTCGATTGGTGCAGTGGCCTCGTCGAAATGGCACAACTGGGCTAACAGTTATCTCCGATATTGCATGCATAGGACTAGCAAAAGATCACGATGAGCATTTTTATGTTTCTGACGGTGCTAAGCATGAAGTAAGACGATGGAGACTAGGAGATACTTGTGGAACAGTAGTAGCAGGGGGTAATGGACAAGGTAGTCGTCTTGATCAGCTCAATGGACCTAGGTATATCTTTATCGATCAAGATTATTCAGTATACATATCAGATGAGAACAATCATCGTGTGATAAAGTGGACCAAAGGTGCAGCACAAGGAATTGTTGTTGCCGGCGGTCAGGGAAAAGGAAATGGTCTAGCTCAATTGTCTGGTCCGCGTGGGGTGGTTGTTGATTCATTAGGTACTGTTTATGTGGCAGACAGTGAAAATAATCGAGTAATGCGTTGGTTGAAAGAAGCTAAACAAGGTTCTGTTGTTATTGATGGAAATGATCAACAGAAACAACTAACCCAACTCCATTATCCTCAGGATTTATCATTTGATCGACAAGGCAATCTGTACGTTGTCGATTTTGGCAATGATCGAATACAACGATTCAATATCGATTTAAGTTCCAGTTAGTAGTGATTTACAGCAACTTTCAATGTATTTTCGTCATTGTAAATTTCTTACAATTTCTACTAAGATGATCGTTGTATGAAGCCTAGAGTGGATGTTGGTGGGTGTGGATGTGGGTGGGTGTGGGTGTGGGTGTGGGGTGTGCATTTGTGGGTGGGTGTGGGTGTGGGGTGTGCATGTGTGGGTGGGTGTGGGTGTGGGTGTGGGTGTCATTAAAGAAAAGAATTATACCCACAGTTACACAAAAACACCCACATCCACATCCCACACCCACACCCCAATATTACCAAATGTTTTTTTGTATTTTTTCTCTTATTTTCATGCATTTTTACTTATTTGAAGAATTTTCTTTATATTAAGAGATGTTTCTACAGAAAAGTTTGTTAAGAAAAGTCATTCGAGGATAGTACTTATTCGTGTCAAAATGTAGATTATGGAGTTCTGTGGGTGTTTGTCAAGACAAGTTGGAGAATTTGTGTGGATCATCACAGAGATTTTGGGTGTTTTTGTTGAGAGGGATCATTTGTTGGTCGGTCTTATATCTTTCCAGAGGGCAGTTGATTTAGAAAAGTATTTCGGGGATAGCACTTATTCAGGTCAGAATGTAGATTATGGAGTTCTGTGGGTGTTTGTCAAGACAAGTTGAAGTGTTTGTATGGATTATAACAGAGATCCAGGGTGTTTGTGTTGAGAGGGGTCATTTTTTGGTCGGTCTTATATGTTTCCAGAGGGCAGTTTGTTGAAAAAAGTTTTTCGGGGATAGCACTTATTAGGGTCAGAATATAGATTATGGAGTTCTGTGGGTGTTTGCCAAGACAAGTTGGGGTGCTTGTGTGGATCATAAGAGAGATTCTGGGAGGTTGTGTTGAGCGGGGTCATGTTTTGGTCTTTGTTGGCGGTTTATTTTTGCTAAAACTCCTACAAAGTGGGTGGTTGTCGGTGTTTGTGTGCATAACTCTCCAAGATGTGGGTGTTTGTCAGCATGACTTTTATGCGGTTTTACAAAGTTGGGTGGTTGTGCTGGTTGCATAAATTAGTAATATCCTCGTGGAACCAGCCTCAGCTAATTTCTCCCTTGAATAGAATTGATGATATTTTCTCTTAAAGAGTCAATTAACATCAGTCGTAGTTTCCTAGATTGAAACACAACTTTGATTTTTCATTATGGATTCATCGCTTTTAACGTTCTTTGTTTTGCTGTCTTACAACAGATCTTTTCTCGAAAAATGCTATAGTTGATTTTGATTAGGCAATTTCACACATTTTTCTTTTATGTAGTCTCAATAAATATTGCACGAATGGGAGGGATCATGATAACTTTTCTCTTTGAGATTCATTTTTTTTTCTATAATTCATCTATTTATGATAAGTTATTAATTATAATTTTATGTAGTTATATCCAATACTGACATGTGCAATATCTTTGAACTCAATGAATTTTATTATTAAAGTGAT